CCCTCTTCCTGTGCCAGCAAGCAGCCGCCGCCCTGGCCGGGGCTCGCGGACCCCGGGGCCCTTACCTGCTCCGCTTTCCCCGGGCCGGATGCCAGCCCGCCGTGCGCAGGGCAGCGGGGAGCTGGGAGCCAGACGCGAGTGACGACTGCACCGAAGGCTGCGTCGCTCTGCAGCTCCGGGTCACGTGAGGGCCGCGCGTCAGCGCCAAGCTCGCCCCCCAACTCTGGCGTCCAGTAGGAACCCCCCCCCAACCTCCCACTTCCCGCCACATGCACACGCACATATTCTCCTCTTCCCCGCCCATGCGTGCACCAAGCCCCAGCGCACACCGCCTGTCGCTCATCTCGGTCCTCTCCAATCTGAGGCCCCACAAGTGGCATCACCGCCCTGCGATGGAGTTTACCGGTCTCTGGTTACTATGGAGGGTACACATCATTCTTCACCACCGCCTCCTCCCGCCTCAGGTCTTATCTTTGGTCTTTCTGCTTTTTCTCCGGTCTTCCTTGGCCACGTGCTTCACCACCACCACCACCCGCCCCATCCCCCTAAGCACACACCTTGCACAAACAGCTACCAATGCCCACCGTAGCTCTTGCAGGCATACCTACCTCTCTAGGAGATTTAGAATGAAGGCTGAGGTGAAGAAGCAGGAAGGGACCTGTTAGGCAAGGAGGTGGATGGAGTGGGCTTGATATGCTTCTCTTTACCCCGCCCTTTAAAAGAGTATGCCTCAGAGAATTAGGAATGACCAGTTTTAATTTTTGAGATAAATACTTCATCCTGCAGACAACGCCTCAGTGATTTATGTTCACCTGTTCCACGCAGAGAATATTTTCTCTGGATTAAGAACGGGAAGAACATCATCACTCAGGGAATATACTAGCTTATTTCATACGTTCATTTAAAAAGAAAAAAAAAAGGAGATGCTCTTTCTGAATACAATTGGTGTCTTCAAGAATTTCCAGGGAGAAGTCTAGCTGTCATAATTTGATTATTTTATGTAATGTGATCATTTATGTGATTTTTTGATACTACAGTCTTAGAGAAAAAGAGCTTGTTTAGAGACTAGCAGATGACAATGGTTTTGTCCCTGGACTCCCACATGGCCGACCATAGTTAGAGTTCCAGGCCCAATGGCTTGAAATTCACACCCGGTACCTATCCCTGCCTGCTGCCTAAAATCTCAGAGGAGAATGGAGAAGGGATCCTGGCATGGCCATCCTCCCTTGAGGATGATTTCTCACTTTCCATCTCTGTCTCTTTCTTTTCTCTCTGGAGACTGCATATATGCTATAGGGAAAAAAAAAAACCAAAAAACAAAAAAACAACTCTCCTTAAAAAAAAAAAAAAAGAGCTTGTTTAAATTACCTGCATTCCTTTCCAAACCTTTCAAGTAACCTCTGCAAATATCTTCTCGGAATGAGCTCAGCACTTAAGTATGGAATGTGCATAAATTGGTCTCAAAGTCATCTACATTTTTATGTGAATGTTTCAGAAAAATATTAGAAATAAGCAAGGAGTGTCTGAAACAACCAAATTTGAGACTAAAGTTCATCCTGAGTGCAAATGTTTCTTTCTCAAACTTGAAATCATTTCTTTAATAGAAATGTCTTTAGGAAAATGGCATTGTTATGCAAACTATTTAGTACCTGTTGCTTATGATAAAGGAAGCCAAAGTGTTAATAAACAGCACTGAAGAAATAGGACAGACAAATGTTTACTAACTCTGATTTTTACCTCAAACTCCTATATAATCTCCTACCCTGCTAAACTAGGTGGGGCACCGAATAAAGGAAAAGTATAAACCTAGTGCAAACATAGTTTGATGTTTTGGAGAGACATATTACATATAAAATTATATATATAGGGTCATCAGAAAAGTCATGAGACATTTTCACATATAAAAACATTCAGTTTAGGAGTTTAGGGATAGCTACAAGATGGTAAGTTTCACTTCTCATTCCTTTGGTGGATATCTGCTTCACCACTGGGATTTTGAGCTACCTAGATGCTATTGGAGTCTTGTAAGAGTACTATGGAAAGATGATGTGGTGGTGTGGTCATGTGGAGACAAGGCCAGGATTGTCCTTTTGAAGTTCCTAGTTCTGAGAAGCATGAAAAGTATTAAATATTATCATGTCTGCAGGTGTAAGTTGGAGCTAGAGCTGAGAAGAGGAAAGTTATTGAAATACAGTCTTTAGGGCGAAAAAAAGAAGAGACACCTTCATGGCTCCTGAGAACTAGCCATTTTGAGGGAAACAGAGAAATGAAGATTTTCCACTGATAATTTGGCCTCTAGCACACAAACTATTGGAAATATTTAGACTAAGTTCATCAGCAAATCAATTAAATGGAGGGGAAAGGCATAGAAAGCAACCATGGATACCAGAGACAGTGTGGGAGGAGGGTGGGAGATGGCAGAGGGTGAGGGATAGGGAATCAAGGATGAAAAAAAAAAGCAAAATATATAGGACATAAGGAATGGAAAATTATTTGTTGATAACACATATGTTGATGTGCTTGATTGAGCCCATATACAGTGTATTCAGGATGGAAAATTCATTTTGTATGCTGTAATGATGTATAGTGAATTAATGTAAAAAAAATGTAAAGGGAAAAAAATAATAGAAACAAAGTAG